TAAGCATACACAACAAGCACAATACATACACTTTATACACACAATCATCTACTCAAATAAGTGTATATAAATACGCAACACATACAACATAAATATACTTGTATATTAACACAAGACATAAATTTTTTAAAAACAGACACATACAAATTGTTCACTCATATACACATGCATTGCATAACCCACAATTATATATATATGTGTCACACACGCCTATAACTCGATAACTAGCATACGTAAAATCTGCATATATATACAAGCAACAGTATAAATACATAATTATACGTTATACACAACATCATGTAATTTTTTGATCATATGCAGTTGTACAAATGCGAATATGATGAGTTCACAAAATTTGTGGTGGAAAACGTGAACAATTTGTAAAGTTTGCAAACAAGTCATTTCAACAAAAAACATGGGGGCCTCTGAATGAGACTAACCTAATCTCTTGCTTAGAGTTGAATTAAAAAGTATTGGAATCCTTATTGATTTGAGTTTGCAATCTTTTATGAATTCCGATTACTGTTTAGATAATTTTCTCATTTATAAATAAAAACACGTAGGTTAAATAACGAATACTTGTTGAAATAATTAAAATATAAAAGCGGATCAAGATTTACCATAGACATGCGATTTCAGGCACCAAAATCGCCACGCGCTGCCACATGCGTATCCCTAGTTCACAACGTGCCGCTATGGAGCGCCGCTGCTGGACCATCGCATGCCATTGCAGACCACCGTGAATCAATTGGAATTCACTGTGAAACGTTTCACGCACACGGATCCAGCGCGTACATGGCGAAATCGCGTCGGAAGGAGCCAGGAGTATGTGAAATCGCGCTGTCAACCATTGTGAATCTCCTTCTTCTTCGGATACACACCATTGCACGATTCTCTCTCTAGTTTCTGATCGAGCATATTATCAGCTGCTTAGACTCCTCGGCTCATCACGAGAGTCGTGCACCGTCACATACCGCCTCGTGCAGGTCGATGGTAGCTGCGATTCTCATTTCTTCTCTCTCTCTTTCTCTATCGTCACACCACTCTCTCTCTCAAGGGCTCGCTTTCTATCTATTTTTATAGTCGGAGAGAGGAGAGCCCATGCGAGCCTTCCTACTCCTTCTTTAGTGGAGGGAAAAGGCCTACATGCCTCTTTTTCCTCTTCTTCTTCGGCGGCCAGAGGCATACACGCCTCTGGCTTCCCTATTTTTTTTTTATGTCACCAAAATAGCATTAAAACGATGTCGTTTCACCTGCTTATATTTTTCCCTTTTACATATCAAAACCGACGTCGTTTTGGCTTTTTCTACTTCTAAAAAGCAGATGGGTTGGGTTGTTACACTTTTGTCTTATTGTAATAAGACCAAAAACTTACTGTAATAAAGCCAGATGTCTTCTGACCAAAAACTTATTGAAATAAGCTTCCTGATTCAATTACTAACATGGGTTTTTACCTCATACCCTTTTTCCCCGGATTAACATGTGTCCAAATGGCATTACCTCATAATTCTAAGCCCATTGGACTCAAATTGGGCTTAATTTGGACATTGTATTGGGCCGGGTTGAACTCATAATTTATAGGCCTAGTCTACCTTGATGACGTGTTTTGGCAACTGGTAGAACAGAACAGAACATAGAAGACAAGTACCCTTTTGAAAGAATCTGAATTGCAAGTAAGAACAAGAACAAAAAATTAAAAGGTTTCCCAGAATTTGAGGTTTCAAAATCCGCGGTTTCTCGAAAAGTCAACAAGTCCCATTAGTCTAATATGGTTTAGCAATTTAATAAACTTAATTATGAAATGATAGCTATAGTTTTAATTAATTACTTAATTAAAATAAGAGCCAGGGGCAGTAGTACATTGTGCCCACATGCGCAGGTTAGAATTTTTGGTAGCGTGCATTGCGCTTAAACCACATGCTACGATGCGAGTTAGAATGATAATTAAAACTAAGCACGATTTTTTATTTTTAGATACATAATTTATTTTGGTGTTTTGTTAGGTGATGAGTTGTAATGCTAATTACAAGTAATTCCTAAATCCTAAGCTACATATATATATATATATATATAGGTGAAGCTTTAAATATACATACATACATACATACATACATACATGTACATATATATGCCTAAAATCCTGATTCTCACATCTTACCTTGATCAAATTCTGACAAAAAATGTAGGTGTCTAACGCGGTTAATACTTAATACAATAAAATAAGTATTATCTTAATCAATATATATACACACACACATATATATATAATATAGATTTCTAATTATTCTTGTTACACGGTAGAGGTTATTTTGAACTTACTATCAAAATTAAATTCCCCAACTAAATTAATTGAACTCAAGTTGTCACGCAATAAAAAGTATTTATTATTTCTGACTAAGTAACCTAATTATAAGTCATATACATATTATAAAATTAAATTTAAATAATAAAATTAATATAAAATTAAAAACATAATTTATTCATAAAAATTAAAACTTAATTTAATAATATTTAAATACTATGAATCTTGCATCCATAGCTTCATAAATTGTATAGGACGATAAGTAGTGATTAATTAATTAATTAATTATTAAATTTCACTGTCTATTCTACCTCAATTAAGACCAGAGCGTTAACTTTTTCTAATAATAAAAAAAAAGAATTCAATAATAAATATCAAGTGGGAAATTAAGTAATTAATTATAATTAAACTCAACAATGTATATATAAAAACAATAATATTCTAAACAAGTTACGTATTCATGTGTCTTGTTTAATATAAATAAATTGGATTAGAGAAATAAAAACTAGGTAGCCAAATTGCTAATTCTTTATTTCTTAATGGGGCAAAAAATCCAATTATCTCCCTATCCAAATTAAGAAAAATATCATATCTGGCCTTTTGATTTGATTGATATATTTTCTTATTTTTTAAAAAATTAAAAAATTTGAATGTCATTAATTATATATTTGAATTAATTAATTAATTATTTTTTTTTTTGTCTTCATAGAAATTGTCATATGATATTTATATAATAATAATAATAATAATAATAATAATAATAATAAAACAATAAAAATCAGTCTAACAATTCCTACGCAAAAATTACTAATTCCAACAGCAGAAGATAATATATAAATAATAATAATTTATAGTTAAAACATGGTTTCACGGTATATTATGTGATGTTTCGCGGAAGATAATCCAACAACGACGGGAATGTTTTATTGATCTACGGGATAGTTATTGTGTATATGCATAATATACAAAGTACAAGTATAAAAATATTATATATTCGTATATATATATATATATATATATATATATATAGAACACACAAAAAAATTAGTATAATGTTTTTGTTTAAAAAAATGACTACAAGTTTACAAAAAATTTACTATTAAAATCTTTACTGTTAGAAGAAAAATATTTGCCTTCTTGTCCGAAATAGAATGAAATTTTGTAACAAATCTGTAAATTTTGAGCTAGTTTTGTAAATTAAAATTAAAATATCTTCTAATACATTTACAAAAACTATTTATTTTGGGATTAAAATTCTTTTTACGTGTTAATAATTTTAGATAATTTATTATATATAATTGGATATTAAGTATTTTTACTAAAAAAATAAATAAATTTAATATATATTAGTTAATTATTAAATATTCGTGCCTTATTATAAAGTCCATTTTCGTATTAACGGAGAGAGTGAGCTTTTGGTGGTCACATGGATTCCTCTGCTCAACTACAGGCTCCTGGACTTACCTAAGCTGTGTTTGGCATTTATAAATTTTTAACTCTTTATATTATTCTTCAATCTTATTCCATCTACAAACAGAATCTCTCTGGGTTTCTATCAGCTGTCGTCATTTTTCTCTTTTTTAAGTTCCAAATGTCCAACAACATCATTAACACTATACACATATTTTATGTAATGGATATTCAATTAATTAATCTAACTAAAAACTCATAACATAACATAACATGTAAGTTAGTTGTTAAGACTTTTATACTTTATTTTAAGGTTAAGAATTTAAATTTTATTAAAAATATATAGTTTAGTACTTTATAAATTTATTAAACTCTAATAATAATTAGTGTGTAATACTTAATTTACGAAAATATGAAATTTAAATTATTAGTGTAATAGTAAAATAAGTTGTGTTATTAGGTTAAGTTTGATTTCAGCGAATTTTATGAGAGAAATATTCAATAACTATCTTGAGATAAAATTTCAATAAATTCATTATATTTTTATATATAAAAAATATTTAATGAAAGACTAAATTCTCTTAAACTATATATTATTTTAATTGGGCACCTTTAATTTAATTTCTTAATTTCTATTATAAGACAAATCATTTTCATCTTCCTCAGAAAAGACAAAATTAGCTTTTGATTTCTTAGAACAATTTAATTATAATCAATAATAAATAAACTAATCAATTATTCTAATTTTGTCTAATGAACAGAAAACTATTTTATTATTTATATAAAATTAATGGTTTTTCTATTTTTCACTAATAATTGAACAAAACCCACACACAGACACATTAGTGTGTGTGTATATATATATAATTACTGTCCCCAAACTCAATGAGGGACAAACAGATTCTCCTTCTTCCCGGTTCCTCTTTCATGCAATCTCACGTGCAAAATGCTGTAGATTTTTTCTTCTTTTTTTTTTTTTTTAATTAAAAAAAGTTTTAGGATTAGACTCACTGATCAACTTTCTCCACAGGCGTATATGATAAAAAGGCTACTTTGTTTGGTCTTTTGGCTATGTATCTCTTTGGCTCTTTTCTCAAACTCTCCTTTTCCCTTTTCCCTTTTCCCTGATTTCGGTTTCTTCCCAGAAAATAATTTCTTCTAGTTACCTTTTCAAATCCTTTTGATCTCTCTTCCCATCTTTCCCTTCAAATCTTCTTTTAAGACGAGGAAATTTGGTAGAAAAAAATGGCATTGGAGGCAGTTGTTTACTCATATTATAATCCCTGCAAGGATTTCTACTCATTATTGACTGAAGGAGGCGGCTATGATCAGTATCTTTTTCAAGAAGAAGATAAACCCCTTCTTGGTCTCCATGAAAACAGTAGCTTCCGAGATGGGAAGGAATCCTGGGATCATTCTCTGTACTCTTCCCCTGAAGTCTGTACTGCTACTGTCGATCAGTCTGTTCATGGAGTTTCAGGTGGGTTTTCTTTAATGGAGCCGAGAGTACGGCCGGAAACTGCGGCGGCGGGAGGTCGCCGGAAAAGAAGAAGAACAAAGAGCACGAAGAACAAAGAAGAAATCGAGAACCAGAGGATGACTCACATCGCCGTCGAGAGAAACCGCCGGAAACAGATGAACGAGTTCCTCGCAGTTCTCCGGTCTTTGATGCCACCTTCTTATGTTCAAAGGGTTAGTATGTATTTCACTATTTCTCTATACGCCATGTTTTTTCTTTTCTTTTTTTTTTCTTTTCTTAACCTAGGTAAATATATTTTTACCATAATTAACATGCCTTGTTCTTGTAAATTTTTACCACCAACAGGGTGACCAAGCATCAATAATTGGTGGCGCCATTAACTTTGTGAAGGAATTAGAACAGCTTTTACAATCCATGGAAGCCCATAAGAGAACCAGTAACGGCGTCTCTCCAGCAGTACCTTTTGCAGATTTCTTCACTTTCCCTCAGTTCTCGACCTGCACCGCCGCCACGGAGTGCAGCGCCGCCGTCAACTCGCCGTGCGTCTCGGCCAAAAACGCGGCGGAGATCGAAGTGAGCATGATAGAGAGCCATGCCAACGTAAAGATCCTGTCCAAGAAACGACCCAGACAGCTCTTGACAATTGTGGCAGAGTTTCAAAGACTCAAACTCAGTATTCTTCATCTCAATGTCACAACTACTTTCGACGAAATGGTCCTTTATTCAATTAGCATCAAGGTATGTAAAACTATCATTCACACACACACATATATATATATTATGTAGTTATATGTATACTGAATTGTTTTTTTTTTTCTTTCACCCATTTATCATTTTCAATACTAGGTAAAAATGAAAGTAAATATCAACCCATTTCCTATTATTAAAACTTAATTTAGGTTAATTTATTATATAATTAATTCTTTTTCTAAGTTATTATATATATTTATGTGTGTGTGTATATTTATATATATATATATATGTAGGTTGAGGAAGGATGCCAGTTCAACACAGCAGATGACATCGCAGCTGGTGTCAATAACATGCTATGTAGAATTCAAGAGGAAGCGGCACTTGAATTATCTGGACGATTAATTACAATTAGTTAAACCATGTAAAACGCTAATTAATATGTGCAATTAATTTTCTTTTTAAATCTCTTTGTATTCTTTTTTATAATCTTAAATTAAATCTCCCTGTAATTGTGGTGTACGTGTCTTCTTCTTCTATAATGGTGATATATATATATATACATATATAATAATGTAGTTATAACAATAAACTTATCTTCTTATATATTAAAAAATAAGAATAAAATTTATATTTGCATTGAATTTTTTATTCATATTCTTTACAATTAAATTAGGGGTAAAAATAATCAAATTAAATATGATTGTATCCATACGCGTAGTAAGGAGGGTTTTTGGTGGGATTATTAGTAATTATTAAATAAAATTTTCTTTAAATTTCTTCATTATAAAGTTGAATTTTTTATTTTATTTTTAATCTTGAATGATTTTTTTTATGACCCACCAATGCAATTATTAGATAGATGGCATCAAATTAACAATATTGTCTCCGAGCTAATTTACATAAACATCAATTGTGCTCTGAATGGTATAGTCAACATGATAATAAAGAACTTTAATTTCTGTATAAACCATTTACACCCGTACACATGTATATATTGATTAAACATCATTAGGATTTATATATAAATTACCCTCCTCTTTTTTACATTCATTTTTCTGGGTATTTTGTTCTCCTTCGCGGAAGCTGCAAAGAGAATAAAGTTTCTTTTTCCCAATTATATATATATATATATGTGTGTGTGTGTGTTAATTTTTTTTTTTTAAAAAAAAAACATTAAGTGGGGGATTTTTAATTCATTTTAGTTATTTAATTAAAAAAATAAAAATAAAACTAGTTATCACATAATCATTTTTAAACCAAAGGCTAAATTAAGTTCAATTTTATTTCTACAATTTTATAAAAAAAAATGTTATATATTGTTTAATATTAACGGTAACCAAACATTATATATTACTAACAATAACCAAATATTACATATACTGATAATAACTAAACATTATATATTACTTAACTCTTATTTTATAATATATTTATAAAATAATAAATTTTATATTATTAGTAAAGAAAATTTAGTTGTTATATAATATTTTATTTGTTTAGAAATGTAATAAGTTAATATTAAATTTAGTTTATTTATTGTAATTTCAGAAACATATTAATTAAGTATTTAATTTTATTTAATTAAATAATATATATCAGTCACCACTATCCTATAATAAGTTTTGTATGATTACTGAATTAGAGTAAGATAGATAGAAAGGTATTAACCATAAAATGGGAAGCTTTGTTTTGGTAGTATATGTGCTATATAAGCGTGTGTGTACATAGAAAGGAAACATTGTTGGTGTACTTGTCAATAACTTGATTACTATTCATGATAATCATGGCTATTAATTTTAATAATTATGTTTGTGGGTGTGAAAATTTATCATAATCAATAATTTACACACTTTTAATCCTTCTTGTGGGGATCTACAGATGGATCGAGGCTGGCTTAGGTAAGCAGCACTGTTCTTCCACGTTTAGTTATTTTCTAAATTTAATTTATTATTGCTGCAAGGAATTCTTCGTTTTAATCATTGTAATTTTAATTAATTACTTAATTTCTTAATTATTAATTAAGAAAGCTAATTAGTGGCTGGGCTGGCTATCATGGTAGCAACGATTGATTTGGTACTGCAGCGGACACAATGACAGACAATTCTGTACATTGAAATGATGCCTAATAATTCTGTTTTTTCTTCTTCAACTATTATTATTTTGAGTTGGATTTTCCTTTTTAGTTCACATATATTTTAAATTTTGGAAAACAAAAAAAGTGTTAAATGTAAGTTTTATCTATATTCTAAATTGTAATATGCACATACACAACCATGTTTTGCCTCGTATCTTTAGTTTGTGGGTGTATATATATATATATATATATATATATATATACATATAGAGAGAGAGAGAGATATATATATATATATAAATGTAACGTGCACATATAGTAAAGATAAATTACATTAAATAATTAAACGCCTAATGCAGGCAGAAGATTCATTAGATTTTTGTTAGAACTTTAGGGAAAAAGAAAAGTGGTGCCTAAACCTAGCTGCCCGCCATGAACAACTTTTAATTTATAAAATTCCTTACACGAACACAAACACTTTTATGTACATGTATGTATATACATACACACGCACGCACACTTATATCGTAAACACAATACAATTTATTGAGGGAAAATAATTTTGTTTGGAAGAAAAGAAAAAGAGACAGAGAGGAGGACATGCGTCAGTGTCAAATGAAATTGAGGTGAAAGTTAATTAGGGAGATCCAGGTAAGAGCCAAGAAGTTTCGTGAGTGCAATGATTACAAATCCAAATCATTATGTGATTTTTGAAAACATTCCTATACGAACTTACAATTCTGCGTTAACTTTATCATTTCATATTTTATGCCTACAATTTTTTGTTCTCTTTTTTTTTTTTTTTTTTTTTTTTTTTTTTTCTCACAAACTACTGAAGTTGAATTTAGGATTTTTTTTTTCTATCCATTAAATTGTTAAAAATATTCATGTTTTATTTTTATTGAATATTTTTTATTATTATTTAATTATGTTTTGCTACATTTAGTATTTTTAGTTTTATGTTAATTTATTTTTATTAATTTATATGAGTATTTAATTTAATTATTATACGTACTAGTATTTGACAAAGTTTTACAAAAAAAAAGTAAGTAAAAATTATATAAAATAGTTGCAGATCTAATAAGAAGATAAAGGTTTGGAAGAATAAAACTCTAGATCTGTCGTTTTAAAATCTCTTCTCGATCGTCCGAAAATAAATAAAATAAATATTTATACAAAAATGATAAGCATTCGCATCTCTTTTTTTTTTTTTTTTTGTTTTTATCTGTACTTAAATAAATAATATTTGCATTAATACATGTACATATACACAAGCAAACACACACATTTTACAAACGTATGATTACTGCCTCATACGCATTCTTACCCATTATGCTTTGTGTACTCCAAGTGTCATACATTTTAACAATTGTTAAATTAAAGTCGCTAAAATGTGTTGTAGGCGACTGAATAGGTAATGTAATTCTAATTAGTATTTGTATATATATATATATATATATATATATATATATTTGCAACATTTTGATACCAAAACACAAGCTTGTTGTATATGATCATGATAATATAATTAATTATCCAGTTTAGAGGTTGACCATCAATGGTTTGACTTCACCTCGTGAACATAAAATCAATTTGGTGAAGATATATATTATTCCTTTCACCAAACCATGCAACTTATTTTTGGCCTATTTAATTAATTTTAATTAAGCAAGCACCAAGATTTTCTTGGACCGTATCCGCCCACGAGTACCTTAATTAAATTGATATCATAAATTCATATGTAACAAATTATTGACCAATTAATGCAAATTAAAATAATTTATATACATTTTTCTATAAATTCCTAACTATAATCACCAAGAAAAATTTAGTTAAGACTATTAATTAATTCATTTACTTAATTAGTACGGCAATAAAATATGTATAATATCCGGACTCGAAAATTAGTTCAGGATCAATTTTAATAATTTAAAAATAAATAAAAATATTATTTATAAATTAATTTAATATAATTTTGTTAAATTATTAAAAAAATAAGTTATGAATGTAATCGAAAATAATTTTGAGAAAAAAAAGATAAAAATTTGAGTTCGAATGGTGTTTTTGAAAAAAAAAAAAAAAGAAACAATGGGTTAAAATGCAAAAAAGAAAAAATTCAGCCATGTAGGATGACCCAGTCAGCAGCCCCGATAAAATGGAGCACGCTACGTGGCAAGACACGCTGACATCGGCGCCACGCGGGTGATCCGCATGCCCAGTAATCGGAGGGCCCAGGATCGATCCCGCGCACGTGGACGGCTCAGATTCGTTCATTCATTAAAGTCGATCGGACAGACGAGATCAATCACGATGAACAGTTTAGAGTTATTTTTTCATTATACGTGATCAGACGGATAAGATCAATCGTAATGAACGGCCCAGATCGACACGGGATGAGTATAAATATTTCGTATCGCATGGGAATCCAAACCTTAGCCGCCAACCCCCGTCGGAGAAGAAGAACCAGGTGTAGGAAAAAGAGGTTGACTGCCGATTGCCACCGCACCGGAGGCATCGCCAGGTGCCAAAAAAGGTAAAAGATTTTCATACCCGCTCGAAATTCGATTCTGAGCATCCCTGTGGCCAAATCGGAGTGAGAGGGACGACAGATGAGCTAGAAATCGCGAGCAAAGCCTGGTGGAGACGCTGCATCCAAAACTCAAAAAATTCATTCGATGAGCCCCTTTTCACTTCTCATTTTATGCGATTTTTTGGTCATTGTATTCATCGTCATTTTTTGTGTAGGTTAGCCAAAGAAAGAATCCTAGCCGTGAAGGAGAACCGATGGAGCCACCACACCCGAGGTCCTTCTACCGGTAGTTCAGTTTTTGTGATTTTTTGGCCAACCGAGCTCCATTAACGTGTTTTTTTTTGTAGAGATACGTGCAAAACTGGCCAAAATCGGTCAGGTTGAGGCAAATTGCCGCTATAGACGGTAAAGCTGGTGCCGGAGCACAGTGACACTGCCGTACCGAAACCCCAAAATTGGTCGAAAAGAGTTTTGGATACCGATTTTGAATTTTTGGGCATGTGACAAGTGTTTTGAATTTTCACATAAAAAATTCAAGAAACTTGGTACTTGTTGGGAGGCGTAATAGACAACACAACGTCTCAAAATACCGATCTAGTTAAGGATCCCTCATCCTATTCTCCGTTACGGTAAATTAAGACTCAATGATGTATAATTTTGAATTTTTTATGAAAAATTATAGAACCCTAAAAATAGTTGCAGGTCACTAGTGGAGGCGGAACCGGTTAGTTCATTATTGTCCCGATTTTCTATTTATTTTTCTGTGCTGCCCTATTTTCTTGTTATTATAAGGTGCATGTTCTTAAATTATATTTTCTA